ACGAAACCGAACGACCGACCTACCTACCGTACGTACGACACTACGAGAGTAGCGTACGTACGTACGTAACGTAACGTACTAACTACTATACTAGTAGTGTACGTCTCTCTCTCTCTCTCTCTCTCTCTCTCTCTCTCTCTCTCTCTCTCTTCCACATCTGGTTTAACCATTTTGTAAATTTTAAAGAGGCAAAAACTGAATGTATCCTACTGAAGAAAGTAAAAGAAGATAATTTAATATGTCTATCAACAAGATTGCTAAGGTACAAGCAATACAACATGTTAAACACGTCTCTTGCCAAAAAATCAGAACTCCAAAGTAAATGAGGGCCTCCACCTCATATCCGGCACCCATCAAAATAACACCCAGGTCCTTTATGGATGCCCTTGGAAGAGAATCGGCAACCTCCTGCTTTCGAATAGATTCTGCAGAAGTTAAGAACGACCATCTGCATCAACAATGAAATCCAAATCAGCAAAGTTTATTCCAATTCATTGATGAGCTAGATCCTTGTTTAATGCACAACTGCCATATGCGAGTATGTGTCCATGTCCTTGACGGGAATCACAAACATATACTATCCAACATATGCATACCGAATCATATACATATATACATGTATGTATGCACTTATCTATGTGGATAGGCAGATAAAGTATGTGTGTGGATATGATTACCAAGCAGGGAAGTCAAACAGGTAAGGAGGTAGTTGAGATGATGAGCAATATACCCGTATGGTTTAGGGACAAAGCCCTCTTCTGAAATGGTTTTTAGAATTCCTTTTCTTTCAAGTTTTTGGTAGGTTAACCAGAGTTTTTTCAAGTTCCCTGCCCATGCATTAACTTGTCCAAAATACTACAATTGCAAGGAAATAAGTTTAAAGAGATCAAGTATAAAGACCCAAACACTGGTAAATACAGATAAAGTATAAAGACCCAAACTCTGGCAAGTAGACAATAAGCTGGTCAGACCTAAGCATTAGAGTGTAAAAATGGAGAGGCATAAAACCAACCAAACAAATAGAGAAGGAATTCAAAACAGTGCATAGAAGATAGAACAACTAATGAGTCCACAAACGGTGGAAAAGAATTAGTTCTGAAGACAAGTCCAATTTTCTTTTTGAAAAGAATGATTTAAGTCCAATTTTATCAAATCATTGTATGTTAATTCAATGGACATCATTGGATTTCTCACTGTCCAATGAAAAAATGGATGGCTATGGAAAGACTGGTACCCACCAAAACAGGACATGACCCAAAAGTGGGTCCCACTTCTCTCCGTTAGAAGTTCATCATGTCATGGATGGTGATGAGTGATGACTCTGGAGGAGTACAGAATTACAGATTTCCACAAGCCATTGGATTATATCATACACTCTCCCTCTTATCAAAGGCTCATATAAAATTGGTGTATGAGACAACAGAGAGATGAAGTGGACCTGCGAGCAACCCTAACCAGAGGAACTTGAGTTGTATAAGTACATGCCATGAGAGAAGCAGCAAGGAGGACCAGCATTCCAAGAAAGACAGGAGATGAGAACATGTGGTCGAAACCAAGGTAGAGAACCCATCTCCATGTGAAGAACCCCAACACTGGGTTATCTTCAGGGTACTTTTGGAAATAAAGTTCAGGGGCCTCCCCTTGCTCTATCACTGTGCCTGCATATGTGAGAAAACTAACAGAGAATTACAGACTTAATAATCAAAAGAAAAAGAAGACTAAAGCCATGGATGCACGACTGCTGGTTACAACTTACAAGTGTAGTGTAATGTTCTATCATTTGAGTAGTACCAATTCTAAATGTGTGTTTGTACTTGAAAGACCTGGAAAGTTGTTCAGTTACAACTTAATCTGCTCCATATGTGGTGTGCATGTTAGCATGATGGTAGATGGTGATCGAATTCAATAATGAATTTTGGTTGATCAGAAGGGAATCAATAAATAGTTCAGAATTAAGATGGCACAATTGCTGCCGAAATTGTAATCGTTCACTAAGAAACCCTGATCTCTTTATAAAATTACGATTACAAAGATAACTAGTTGTACTATAAAACTAGAAGGGATTGAAGGAAATATCAATAGAAGTTATTAGAACTTAGATTGACTTTACATTTATCGAAAATACCTATAAACATAGATTCGATAAAAATTCAGTGTACTTAAAAGACATTTTCATTAGATTTGGAGTTCAAAAAGCACATCAGAAAATTCAAAATCATTACTTAACTGCCAGAAATAGAGAACAAGAAACACATGATAAAATCGACATCAGAAAAAATTAGTTTTTGGTCCTAAATTCTGATATCCCTTTTCCCATGTAACATGGGAATTCATCGAATTATCATTTTCCCAATAGACAATTTTATCAGTGCTACAAAAGGACAACCAGTTTTCTGATATTCACAGTGAATTTCCAAAAAGAAATCAAAATCCAAATAATCAATAGGCACCAGAAACAATAAATTATCAATACAGAAAAATCATATAACTTTAACTCCAAAGAAGTATAATTTATGCAGTCCGTTTACAAATATTTAACGCCCAATTTCATAATTTGGATACAAAATGAAATAAGAAGAAACAAGAAGTATGAGAACCGAAACAATGGTGCGCCAGGAAGACTATATCAGCAATTTTAAAAAATAAAAAAGGTCAAAATTATGCCAAAAATAAGATGAAGAAGAAAAAGAAGAAGAAGAACTAAAATTTCAAAATAACAAACCCAACAGCAAAGACACATCGCTTAAAAAAAAAAAAAATCATACCAAGAGCCATAAGTCCAGCAATGGTGGCCATCTCTCCAATTGCAAGAGGAAGATTTGAAAGGACCGAAGCGATCCTCCGGGGAACTCTTTTAAGAGAAACCCACAAAGGATTTCTGGCCTTTTTGGCCAGAATCTCAACTTTTTGGGCATCTATGGCCGGAATCTCAACTTTTGCGTTGACATTTTCAGAGATTTCAGGCGAGTCCAGAGGACCGGAGAGAATTATCTTCTGAGAAATGGGTTTTCTTATCTTCCGTTTTGTATCATCTGAAGATTGAATTTTAGCCATAAATTGAGACCTAGAGATTGTTCTGCTAAAACCCAAGCCATGGACGAAGAAATGGAGCTTGAATTTGGGGGGAAAAGGAGATAAAGGAGTTGGAATTTGCAGGGATTTTGTGGGGTTTATTAGGAACAAGTCCATCACATGAGCTTAAGACATGAGAGTAAGCTCTGTGATAGTGTTTCCTTCTTATGCTCTCATTGCCATGGATAAGGTGGATATTTTGAATTGCAACGCGGCATCATTTGCTTCGCTTATAAGGAGTGAGTCATGAAGGGATCCAGTTTCTATGCGGGTCGCCAAGCCCGCATATGTAGAAATGCGGGTTTATTAATATATCTATTTTTGAGATGGACCTTTGGCCATAATTTTTAAGGACATTTAATCTCTAACATGAAGATGACGAATATGAAAAAATAAATAAATTTTATGAAAAAATAAATAAATTTTAAAAACTAAAAATAATGGTTCTAGTAAGAAAACATTTCCATCATTAATTTCTTGTTTTTAGATGGAACACCTACTTAGCATCCATCTTTATGATGGTTGCTTTACACTTTTTGGACCGTAGTCATGTGGTTCAGCCCGCATGAAAAAAATTTCTGTCACGAAGATTTTTTAGTGAGAGAAAGCTCGTTTTATTTTATTTTGTTTTATTTTTTTATTTTTTTGGGTAATTCAGTGCGGAAGACATATCTTTCCCTATTTTTTAAGTAGATTAAGAGCTAGATTTTTTTAAGGTATTGGTGGGGTGGCATTAGAGAAAGCTCGTTCGACCATTGATTAGTTATTTAATTGATTAATTAAAAGTTCAAATGAAATTTTTTCGAACTTTATGATACACTCAACCTATCAGATTTCACAGCAGATAGCTACAATTAATTTTGACCTCTTTGCATCAAAGGTAAATAGTATCATGACATACGATCCTTTATAAAATTTGTAGTTAAAAAACGAGTACAAATCTTGCAAGATGTGCTAATACCTGAAAATAGATGGTCGGGGATAAAGTTATACAATATACACTATATTTAGGGCCATAAATCCTTTTTTTTTAACGACCATAATGGTCAAATTCGAGATTATCGATTTGAAGGTTGTCTGACACAAGAGAAGTGAGTCTTTACTCTCTCTTTTTCATAAAGCCTAGGTCTTATTTTAACTTTTCGTAAGGTTTCCAAAAGAAATAATCTACCAGGAAAAGTAATTTGTATGGCCTTGGCTTTCTAAATCCCTGCTTCGAATTTCGCTTGACAATGCAGTTCCGATACCTAAAAACTAGCAGATCAATCATATCAACCTTGGCAATAAGTGATCAAAAATAGATTTCATGCTATAACATACTGTATATTGTTTCATATTATGGGGTTGCAACCTTATATCATAGAAATAAGGAGTACATAAAAAATCCGTTGAAATTATGAAATTGGAAAACCTTCCAATTGATGTAAAGAAAGGAAAAAAAGGAATTTCAAGTACTAAATATAACATATCTTGTATGTTACCTCTACTATCTATTTTCAAAATTTTTAAATATTTATAAATTAACTCGATCTAAAATATTTTTAAAATTTTAATTTCATAATTGGGATTGAACCAAGCGATTGTAAAGTTTCTTACACAAGAACTGCATCTTCCGACTTAGTATATGGTAGGCACCTTATACAAACCTCACCCTTTTTAGATTATCCATTTCCAGTGCAAATAGAAGTGCCACATCAGCACTACTTTTTAAACATGACATTCCAGGACAAAGAAAATCTTTATGTTAGGCCATCTGAGAGAGGATATGGAGTTTTTTGAGATGCATCAGAAGTAAAATTTTCACGATACAAATTAAATTTATTTTTGGAAGATGGTTTGATAGTAAAATTTTCACGATACAAATTAAATTTATTTTTGGAAGATGGTTTGATAGAACAGTAGCCCTATTAAAATAAGTAAAGCCTCATCTCATAACTCATCAAAAATTACACGTTAAGTGTTGGAAGACCTTTAAATCGATCATCTCAACTTGAACATTATGATCATGAAAAAAAATTAGCATTTCAAATTCTAAAAATAGTGTATATTGCAACAAATCATCTAGAGCATCCATTTCACCCCAAACATAAGTGTTAAACAGATCTACAAGATCTTTACCACTTTTTGAGTATCAAATTTTATTGTCGGTCTTAGAAATTGATTTTAGATACATCATGAAGATTTCTGATTCCCAAAGTGCTTTCCCCATGAGGATTTGAGGTTCATAAAGCCTACGCCTTATACAAACTTCATCCTTTATGTTTTTTCCATTAAGATTCATAATGGAAGATGAGCAATAGGTAGTAGCTTCAGGAACATTTTTACAAGGGGCAACATCTCCCTTAATACCGGCATGATGCTTCTTAAACTGGTTTATTCTTCCTTTCGTATATTTTTCACAAAATTGCATCACAAAAATTGTATCTAATCAATTTTTGTTATTTGGATTCGGGTTATATTCATATTTCCAACCCGGATCTCCATTTCAACTAGATCTTGAATAAGGCATCTCAAAATAAAACAAGCAATTTACAAAATAAATTTTTGCACTTACTTTGATTGCTCGAACTCCAAACTTCTACCTCTTAGATGTTTTCTTATGCTAAAATAATAAAAAATACCCTTTAATAGGATTATAAAATTCCAAAACTAAATCAAATCTATATGGGTGATGTTTGAATCCATTTTCGTAACTTTGAGAAGCACTTCAATCCAATGAAAGTCAAAAAAATTAGTTTTTTTTATGTTTCTTTATCTCTTAAATGAGTTCTTGCGGGTTTAGGTTTGAAATGAACCTAAAACCCATCCTTTAAACCTTTTATATTTAAAAAGAAAATCAATACAACTAAAAAATAAAGAAATAAAAAATTTCCATCCCTAGGCGGGGCGTAGGCCCTGGGCGAACCGCCTAGGTTTTCGCCCAGGGACTGCCCCAGTTTGGTCTCCTAGGTTTGTGCGATGCGCCCAGACCTTCTGGATCGCTTAGGCGCTGGGCAATCCGCTTTTTTTAACACTGTCATAATTTCTTTAAATCCGTCATTCATCTCTCTTTATAATTTGTTGGTGAAAATGACACAGCACTTCGTAGGCTGGCCAAAGAATACTGAATCAGTCTACACTTACGATAAATATTTTTGTATATATCAGAAGAACATATGTTCCAAATATGTTGAACTAAAAAGAACGAAAACAATGCTTTTAGTACCTTAATATACGCTCCAAACTGATCCTTATTAAAATGAGGTATCAGTAGGTTTGTAACAGAATTATCGAATCGGGGAGCCTTGCACTCAGCAGTTCCGAAGCTTCCTTAGAAGGTCCAAACCATAACCATGTTGGAAGAATCACGATGGCTTAAGTTGGAAGAATCACGAAGGCTTAAGTTGTAAGAGCTAGAGGGCCATTAGCACCCTCGGAAGGCAAGGCCTTGGTAGCCTTGGCCCTGGAAGGCGTGGCCCTCAAAGCCTTAGCCTTGGAGGAGACCTACATGATTGCCGCATAAAAAATCATCCAAAGCTAACTTTATACTTTCACCATATATATGAATTGTTACATCATTGCCATTGTTCTAGTTAGGCCTACATACTATCACTTTTTACCTTAACCGATTAGTGGTGCGGGCAATTTTGGACCATAAAAAAATCAAAATTTTAAACATGAAAAGGTTTAAAATCTTGATATTTATTTGCCATAAATACAATGCATTGTTTTCAATTTCAAAATAAAAATTATCTTGTTTTAAGAAAATCTGAAAATATAAATAATCAAAGTTTAAAAGTATATTCAAGATTCATCAACAATTTTGACAAAGTTTTATGTTTGTTACCCATCTAACACAATTCACTTCCTTTATCTGGGCTTGGGACTGGTTTAGGTAAAGTTTAAGACCCTCACCTTTTTTGGACCAAAGATTATAACAATTCTCAAAAAGGTTTTGTTAGTGGTGTGGCGTAAGCACTGAGCGAGCCATGAGCGAAGCGAGGGCTGCCAGCTTTCTATGGTTCAGGAGTGTAAGCTGGCTCTCTCATCCTATGATGGAGGAGCGTAGCGGTCGTCATGGCATGATAGAGGTTGTCTGAGCAACGCAACGCTCATAAGTACTAAAGGAATGATGCCACTCGGCATATTGAAGGAAATGACAAAATCGAAGGGAAGGAATAGGGGATACCTTTAAATTGTAATACAAAAATTTTTTAAGTAGGGGTATTTTTTGTCATTTAGAATGGTAGAATGGTTATTTTTATATGAAAATAGTGGCATTCTATTAGTAGTTAAAAATAATTAATGCATCTTGTGGGTGATGTCACACACCATATCGATGATGTCATTGTTCACTATTGTCAATAAATGCTTTTGTTTCTATTAGGAATTTCTAGTTTACTCTTGACTAATTACTTAAAATACCCCAAAACAAAAAGTTGCTATACTTTAGGATCAGGGTATCTAAATGTCTAAAAATGTTGAGTACTTTTTCAAGAGTCTATATCATAAGTGGTGTAGCCTAACAAAACCCTCTGATCTTTCTTTGAACTTTGACATGGTTCTTGCTTTTGAAATTGGCTTTGCTTGATTGGAGGGAAGTAATTATTCTTAGGTTTTTCTTTTCTCTCTTTGAATTATGAACTCTCAGTCTCTATGTTGGAATTTGATGAGGCTTTTCTTATTTGTTGAAAGTGACTTCTTATATTTTGGACTACTTGCATGTCATAAAATTTTTACTACTTTGTTTTGTATTTATGGAAGCAAACAATTGGACAGAGCATCCCTTTTATCCACACTCAATTGCAATACAAAGTTAATAATCATGGCCTGATACTCTATTTATTCAAATACAAATAATTCACACATTTGGAAAAGTCGTAGTTAAGTATTAATCTTCAATCTCCAAACCCCTTTACAGTATGTGCACGTATACTAAATGTGTTCGGAAGTACACCTACTTGGGAGGATTTTTTAGGTTGAAATTTTGGGAATCACATAAGAACTATTAGATTATTGTTTTTCAAAAGAAAAAAGCTGAATTGGGAGGTCCCTCCAAAAATTGGACAGTGTTCATCCTTGAGAACATTACTATTCTCAAGTGCATGTAGATTACAAATATGGAGTTATTCATTAAGGCTACTCTATGGGGCTGAAGAGCTTATTTCCCCCCAAAAAAATTGGCTTACTAAATTTCTTAATCCCAAACAAAACACATAAGATAATTTTT